AAGAGGAAGAAGAAGTGGTGGTTGCAGAAACAGAGAATCGAGCAGAGGCAGAGGATTTAGTGAAGAATAAGGCAGCTGACGCTCAGAGGCATCTTCAAATGATCGGAGTCCAACTCTTGAAAGAGTCGGATGAAGCAAACAGAACAAAGAAACGTGGGAAGAGGGCGTCTCGTATGACACTCGAGGTGTGTATGTCTATTAACCTATGGAATGTTTATGACTTAAATCAGTCACATGTTCATGAATTTGATTGATTAAGCATGTTTGCACAATGCCGATTACATCCATCAGGATGATGCAGATGAGGATTGGTTCCCTGAGGACCCTTTCGAAGCATTTAAAGAAATGAGGGTGAGAAAAGTGTTTGATGTGTCAGACATGTATACAATAGCAGACGTTTGGGGTTGGACGTGGGAGAAGGATTATAAGAACAAAACTCCAAGGAAATGGTCACAAGAGTGGGAAGTCGAGTTGGCAATTGTGCTCATGACAAAGGCAAGAGTCCCTTCAAGCCTCTAACGCATTATTTCACAACCTTTTATGATCCTTCATGTTAATATCATTTACAATGAATTTGTCTAGGTGATTGAATTGGGTGGAATTCCAACGATTGGCGATTGTGCGGTGATATTACGAGCTGCTATAAGAGCTCCCATGCCTTCAGCCTTCTTGAAGATCTTGCAGACTACACACAGTCTTGGCTATTCTTTTGGCAGGTTAGTTTAGTTACAGACGCTTTTCTTAGCCACTAAAATTGACTATAAACGAACGAATACCATCTTTCTATTGCAGCCCGTTGTATGATGAGATCATCACATTGTGCTTGGACCTTGGAGAGCTTGATGCAGCCATTGCAATAGTTGCAGATATGGAAACCACAGGGATCACTGTCCCTGACCAAACCCTTGACAAGGTCATATCTGCTAGACAATCGAATGAGAATCCCCGGTCTGAGCCTGAAGATCCACAATAATCATCAGTAAGCTCTTAGCATCTCATCTTCTTCTTCCTATTGTGAAATAGCAAGAAGCAGCTGAATCTGTCTAAGTTATGAAAGTTTTGTTCATTCTCTGCAAAAAAAATCTACTATATAAAGCTTAATTTAAGTACAAGTGTAGTTCCCAGTGTAGAACAGAAATAGCTTAGATACAAGATATGCATTTTTTTTTTCAATAAATTCGATTTTGAAATATTTAACAATTTACAAACTTTAAATCACATTGTAAACGTATACTGCCAAAAAAAAAAAAAAAAATTAATTATAGACGAAACTTTGCTCAAAGAGAAGAAAGTAAATGAAATTAAAGACAAAAAAAAAAAAAAGTAAATGAAATTAAAGACATAAAGCAGGCTTCGTAAATTGAGACTAATCAATATCCTCCTTGTCAAGTGAGACAAGTCTCAACATGTTTTGATCATATCGAAGCTTCTCTAAGTCACTTTGTTTTCCTTTTGTCTCCAGAAAGTTGCTTGATTTGCACTAAACTTGGAGTACTCAAGAGCCTTGTATATTATGTCTCCACGTTTTCCGAGATACAATTGTCTATAGTATCCAGCCTCTCCAATGATTTGAAATGTTTTGCGATTGTCGTCCTCCTCAAAACCCATGACAAGTTTCTTCTCCTCGTTAATGATGAAACCACCACATATAAATGGAACATAATTGTTAAATTCCGTTTCCACTCTAAAGAACTTGATCCACGAGACCTCTTTTGCTTCATCAATCTTACTTGTAATCCATACATCACGCTCATATAGATTTGCTTCGGTCTGCTGAAATAAAACCGCAAGCTTCTCTTCTCTAACACAAGATAAAGTCGCATAGTCATCATCTCCAAAACTAAACGGCAGACGCAGAAACGGTCCAAATCCCTCTCTTGTAAAATCAAAACACATTATGTGATCGTTGAGTACTTCGTCTTGTGAGTTCCTTTCTGAAGCACACCAGTAACTGTTTCCCTTGAGAGAAACGCCACTTTGATCATACAATATACGCCAATGTCGAGTGACACCATGAGTCCTCCATAAACCAGAGTCGAAATCGTAGATTTCATACCATACAAAGTTGTCTTCGGGTGCACGTAGTAGTCATCCGTAAACCTCAAGAATTTGTAGCTACGACAAGATTTCTTGTTCTTGTATCCAAGAGCGTAATAGATCAAGCCCCCTACGTTTAGGCAGTGAGAATATCTTGGTTTGATCCACCTTGTTTGCCCCAAATACGGATTCCAAACCACAATAGTATCATCTTCTTTCAAGATGCATAACAATAAACCCTAGCAGTGAAAGACTTGAGATATCTTGACTTCTACGTCAAGGCAACTAAGCGTAACTTTAGGCTCTATAGATAGATCAACGTCAACGAAGACGCTCATTAAATAAAGTTTGTAATCAATCATCACGATTATCGTAGACTCACCTTTCTTTGTTGTTGCTGCTGCTGCTTTACCAATATGCATCTTTGTAAAGCTCCTACTTTTCGATATAGTGTTCCAGTTTTTGCAAGTTAATTACTTTTTTCATAGATTTCAAAGGAAGTCTAGAGAGAATCTCCTTAATTAAATCTCTTGGAAGATTGGAGATCATTATCGTCATTGTTTCAATTTGCAAACAAGGGTTTTCTTGTTTTGTTTAAGAGGCTACGTAACAATTGATGAAGATTCGGAAACCCTAAATGAAGCTGGGCCAACTATGGGCTTCAGATTTATTTTTTTAATAATCACATTCATAACGTTATTAATTCGTTTCCTCATCTTAATAAACGTATTGGTTCATTTGCAAATCCCTAAAATGAAATGCTAATACTTAGCTACCGAAGGTTCTTTTCAAAAGCTCTCTAGCCGCCAAGGAGGAAGTGAGTCGCCATGAAGAAGAACAATCCACAGATTGTGAAGAGGTCTAGGGTTAAGAGACGTGACGAAGAAGGTGATGAAAATCTCTATGAAAATTTAATCATAGAGATTCTCATTAAACTGCCACTTAAATCCGTAGCCAGACCCATCCCAGTTTCAAAACTTTGGTATTATACAATCCGCGGGAAATGTTTCAAAGATTTGTTCTGGACTAGATCCTTGACTCGTCCATGTTTTCTGATCGCGTTCCGCTGTGACGAAGACTGGTTCTTTCACACAGCCTCTCATGAACCACAGTCTTCTCTTCATAGTACTACAAGTACTATTCTGAATAAAGATCATCGAATATCTCAACCGATCCGCGGGTTGATCTGCGCTCTAAAGGCTTCCAAGATGGTTATCTGCAACCCTTGCACAGGCCAAGTGGCAGCTTTACCTAATGTCAAAATTTGGAGAAGAAGCATATCAACTTTTTTGGGATATGATTCTGTTGAACATGTACACAAAATTTTGTGCATGACGGTACTCAATGTTTCACAAGACCACGAAGCAGTTGTGTCGGAGGAGCATCAGGTTTTAACGTTAGGAGATCAAAAGAAAAGATGGAGAAAGATCGAATGTCAACATCCACATTGTCCTGCAACTAAAGGGTTGTTCATAAATGGGGTTATTTATTATGTTGTCTTGTTGAAACATTTGATCACCTATTTGTGTTGTCTTGTTGAGTTATGACTTGCAAAAGTATGTTCTGGTTTTGTCTGCAACCTATTAGCAAGCTTCAGTTTTCTTACTTAGTTATATTTGGAGAGAACCATGAGTTTTGTCTTGTACAGTATTAGTCTAAGATTAGTCCTTATTGGAATTAAAACATTTTTCCAGTATTTTGATATCTTCTTATATTGTTGATTACAATAGGAAGAAACTGGTGAGTAATGCTTAGTCGATTGTATAAACGAATAGTTAGTGCAAACAAAGTTGGCTTAGTTCATGAAGCTAACCAAAAATCTCCATGGCTTAAGAAACAGAGGAGAAATGTTATTATAGTTACTGACTATAGAAATGATAGAACATTATTGTACAATAAACAAAGATTTTGATTGATCCAAGAGTTGATTAAGAAAGGTCTGAATTGATAGAACATTTTTATTTACGATAAACAAAGATTAACGACAACGAACAAACCCAGTAAGACTAGAACAGACCCCATAAGACTAGTACAACTTCAAAGATTGAACGACGCAAACAAACCCAATAAGAGACTGAACAACCAACCAACCGGTTTCGGATAAATCAATGGACCAACTATTTTTTGTTTCTTACGGAAGCGAAAGACTATTCCATACCTACATGGTATTTAGTAACCACTGGCAAAGTGGTACATAACACCTTGAAGACTTTGGTATTGAGGTGTAGGAGACCAAAAACACACAAATGTGTGCTATTTATAGGAAATATCAGACACTATATAAGAGGATTTTACTTTAGTTTGTTATGAAAACTTGTTGAGTCTTCTAAGCTTTTTAACGTGTTCACCTTTACTTTACTGATTAGGAAAGAGATTAGGTGGTAAAACAAGTTTACTTTCATCATATGCATCTAGTGGATATATAAATAATTTTTTGATTGTTGAAAAGTGTTTACTTTGATTCATTCTAGACAATTGTAAAAAGAGAAGTTCAGTTTGACAACTAGAATAACTTTACTAAAATTAGTGGCCAATTAACAAAAATATTGGGTATAGAACATAACATGAAGAATTGATTTCATCACACATCACACATCACACAAGAACGTTGTTTCTTTTCTTTAATTGTGTATGATAGTTAGTTACTGTGGACCGCCACACATCATAAAAATTGTTTAAACCGGTTTTAAAAAATCTAGGATGACATTTGGTTTTTTGGTTCAATTCGTTTCAAATAAGTATTTGTTACATAATTTAGGATTGTGTTAGTGTTCTTCAGTCATCTAGTATACCTTGTAACTAGATTGTACCTTGTTACATAATTTAGGATTGTGTAGGAGTTATTACTCTATATATTTTGGTTACTTAATGGTTACGCATTGTTCATTTTGGTCAACATAATTCAATTTACTTTTGTGTGTATTTCTGGTTGATTCATTTACAAACTGCGGAAGCCTTAAAGATGAGTGAGTCCTTATTGGAATTGAAACATATATGTCTAATTCTTTTTAGGGGAAACAGAGTAGAGAAACAGAGACGAAACGGTTACTGACAATGGGAATGATAGAACGTTATTGTACCATAACAAAGATTCAGATTGATCCAATAGCATATATAATTAAAGTATGAACTGATAGAACATTATTGTTTACCATAAACAAAGATTAACGACAATAGAAAATCACACGGAACAAATCCAATAAGACTACTAGTACTACTTGAGAGACTGGACGACACAAACAATCCCAATGAGACTACGTACTACATATTATTTGAGAGACTGAACAACCAACCAACCAGTTTCTGATAAACCAATGGACCAACTATTGATTGTTCCTTACTGAAGCAAAGAAGAATCAAAATGATTCAAGAAGGTCTCAACACCGTGATATGCACCTCCTCCATCGATCTTAATCATTTTGAATTTTTGTGTGTTTGTATTGTAATACAACACAGAGAATGATTTTCCAACAAGCGACCCTATTTCTGTGAAAACAAGTTCTCCGATTCCAACGGTACCTTTGAAAGAAAACGACACATCCCCGACAAATTCTCTCCAACCAGGAACCACAAATGGTTGACTCCGCCATTTCCCTGTATCATCGTCCCTAACCAACATCTGAATTTCTCCTTTGTGATTGATATCATCCCACGAGGAAGTCACTAGGGCAATATACCCGTTATAGTTCACCAATTTAGCACCACTCCTAATCTTGACTTCCGTAGGTAGTTCAATAACATTAAACTCTTCAGATTTCACGTTGAAGCTCATTAGTATACCGTTAACATRATGACGGCCCCAAGCTCCATAGTAGATAATTCCTCCTTTACATAGTGAATTAGTAATTAGAAAATTAGGATGATTGCATACGATCGGTCTCCAAGATTCACCCGATCTCACCGTGTAAACATAAAATTCAGTAGTTCCATTTGGTGTACCYGGCCCTCCAGAAGCCGCTAACACCTTGAATACATCCAAATCTTTATCGTATCCAAACAAACTTTTCGTGAAGGCTACATTAGGCTCGGGTAAAGTCACCAACTTTTGAATACCCGGATTGCAAATCACAACTTTAGTTCCTAACTGAAGACAGATCAAACCTCGGATGGGTGCAGAAATGTCATGTAGTGGTTCATTAGTAATAATACGCATCAGTTGTTGACCATACATCCCTTGTTTATCAGACGAAAACTCTTTTTGGTAAACAGAGTGAAACAAGATATGTGGTGTTGGGTCGAGGTTTTTTCGACTGATCACGAACAACAGTTTAGGTAATTTACTTGATTGTTCATAGTGATCTTTTCTGAATTGTTCGTCACGGATTGTAGATGACCAGTACTTTGAGACGGACGAGACTTGCATCAAACATTTCTCAGGCAACATTGTCAGAATCGACCATTGTACATCTCTAGGAAG